GGGCCTATGTGCGGGGTTTTATAATTGGTGCAAAAATTAATGCTGAGGAGGGGTTAGCAGCCTCGAACGTGACACATGGAACCTTAGCCTGGCAAGGAAAACACGGCACTACGATTTTCACACCTAAATCGCTTCGTTTGGCGGACCGTGAAATAGTAGTAGAATGGAAGGATTGGTCTTAAGTGTCATGTGGCCGAAGGGCATTTTACCAATGTGGTAGGCTTGTGTGTTTCATCCCTTAGCTGTAAACACGGACTGAGCAGTGTGTGTGCGGGGGTAGGAGCGGGGATCATCAGTACAGCCTCCAAGCCGCCATGTTCTGCTGGACAGTCATGTGGCTAATTTGCAGGACAGAAAAATGTGAAGTCGTGAAAACTTTCGAGTTGTTATTTTTTTTTTGTATCATCTCATATTTCCTGCAGGTGTGATGGCAGATTTACCGCATATAAGCAGGGCGGAGATTGAGCGACGATTCCATGAATCAGGCGAATTCAAAAAAGCCACGGAGTTTTTGGCGCAGCGGCTACGAGAAATGCACTGGGATGAGAAATTGAGGACTGTTTGCCTGGATTATGCGAAAGAGAACGTAACCAAATTGCTACACTTTGATACTGCTCTAACCCAATGTTTTTTTTTTTTTTACTTAGTTTCTTTGGTTGTTTTTCACTTAGTTTCTGTTTTTTGCTTCTTACCTTCCTCTCGCATTCTTCTGCTCCTTCACTTATATCTCTTTCTTTCACTTCTCCGTCTTGCAAATTAGTTACATGACTATTCAAAACATGACGGGTACGGGGCTGTATTGATGATTCCCGCTCCTAACCGCATGCATTAGTTCGGTCTGTGTTTACAGCTAAGGGATGAAACTCAGACAGACTGCATCATAAAATGTCTTCACACACATGAGATTCACGTGAAATCCTTCCATTCTTCTGTTTCATTCTGCCTCCTTCTCGCTTTTCTCTTCTCTTTACTTTAGTCTTGTGAATAAGAAGCAGTCTTTGGCGACACACGGGCCTGATATACATACTTACTTAAGCTCGCGGACCACCTTTTAATAAAACTCAGGCAACAACGCACTGCACTTGCCCGTGCGGTCATGCGTTTTTGCGCTAAACCTGACACAGTCAGATCGTTAGCAGTATTAATTGTTGTTGCTCTACAGTGTAACACGTGCAACTCATGTACCTGTGTTTTGGTCTTTTCTT